ATCTTCTTTTCCTCTATATTTAAACCACTAATGTATTTACTCCTGCAGCTGTTAGCATGTTTGGAAATGTTACGTATGTTTAAAATTAGTATGTTTTACTATCTTAGGAAGTGTGACTCCTACCCTATTTTTCAAGATTAATTTAACTATTAAAGATTTGATAAGTTTTTAACCCATTAAAATAATATTCAGGTGCTAACAATCCATTACTGTAAATCAAATATAAAAAGAAGTTTTACCAGCCACACAGGGAATCTGGCATCTCTCCGGGACCCTGTTTCTTCTCCTCCCATAACAATCATTTCATGGAGGGCTCGGGCCACCAGGTGTACACTGTTGTAGAGACACTGGACGGATTTCATCCTTGCCATGTCCATAAAGGGCTTAGGAAAAGATGCCAAGGAGGCATTGGGTGGGCACTCAGGAGTTTCATCACAGAAAGTGCCTGCAAAGCAGCAATTGAAATGGTTGGCCCAAAGTTTGCTAAGGAAGATATCTTCAGGGTACTTGGAAGGATTCACAGTTCTTAAAAAATGCTTCAAACCAGGTATCTCTGAACTGCGGTGTATAAACACAAGGGACCCGTGGAAAGTATTTAGGAAGAGGCTAAGTGATAAGCCAATCTCTTCCCTTTGGGATGTAGTGATCCACAGCTTGTGCCTTGTTAAGTGATAGCCTCCTGCAAAGAACAGGGCCGTGGACGTACTTCTGTCACCATAAACAATGACCACATTTGCAGATGAGTCTAAGATTCTGAGAATGAAGATCCAATCTTCTGGCTTGTTCATTTCCTTTGTCACAGGAAGCTTTTCCATAAGTGCCATGCAGACACCTTTGACGGCCATTTCTCTTCGAAGGTCCCAAAGAAACTGCTCACCTTTTGCATCATCTGGCACTAAAATACTGATCCAGGTCCACTCAAAATGGACTAATAAGGAGACCATCCCAGAAGCCAGACAAGTGTGCCTGGCGGCCATCTGATAGAGGGAGGAAAACTGGTCCTTATTTCTCAACAAAGGATCAAAAGAGCCACAGAATATCTGAATCAAAAGAGAGAGAGATGCTCAATGTGGGTTGTTGAAAGCAGAGTTAACAAGAGAATTACAGAAAAACACGAGAGTGCCCCCAGTGTACACAGCCTCGCTGCACTCCACAGGGGTTTCAGATTTGACACCTTTGGGGAGCAGTTTGCCAGGAATTGCATCTGTTCAAGGGTTATGGTGGGGAGCCTTTGAGTGGGTCCTGACTCCCAGTGACCCACTAGGACAGAGTACAAC